AAATTCAACTCAATGAATACTCATTCCTGAATATTTAATGAAACTATATGAGGGTAAGGAAATACCACAAGAGATGGAAGGTTTCGAAATGAATAAAGAAAGTGGAACTGCTTGAAAGATTGAGATTCCGGGACCGAGCGAATGAAAAAAGAATTAATTCAAAGCCCAAACCCAAACTTCCTAAACCAAGCACATGAATGATAATGAATTCAAGGAAATAATTCATAAGAATACAAAATAGTGAGATAACAATCTGAAAAAAGGTTGGTTGGGTAGCAGGATCCATTTTTTCTTGAAAAAACAATTGTTTTCTTGTTTTTTTAAGGGAACATTGATCATGTTACACAACCAATCTTTTTTCAAAAAAATTATTGGGTCACTACACTAGTTAACTAAGATAACAATATCTTCTCAGGAATAAAACGCGTTTTTTTGTTCAAAATCAGCTTTATTCGTGAAAGTTACCTCCACAATTGTTTCAGTGCCACCCTAACATTTCAATAGATACCATTTTCGAAGAACGATTTATCTTTTGCCTTAAAGAATGCCTCAGTTCAAGTGACATCCTCTCCATTGGAGCGAAACTTCTTACCGGTCAGCATTTTTTGAGAGCGAACAGCCATTAGTCGATGGGAGCCAAATCTGGAGAATACCGTGGATGTGAGAGCAAATCTAAGTTCAATTCATATAGTTTTACCATTGTTTTGATTGACTTGTGACACTGTGCGCTGTCTAGATGAAACATTTTTTCCCCGTTATATGCGGTCGTTTATTTACAATTTCGGGCTTCAACCGCTCCAATAACGCTATGTAATATGTAATTGATTTGAAATCCCTGAAAAAATCTGGGAAGGTCTCGAAAAGTAACTAGGCATCATCAAAAACGATCTTCAACGGAATGGTTACTCCAGAGCGATGGTAGAACAGGCTTTAGCTAGAAGACAGCAAGAACTCCACAAGGAAAAGAAGCCGCCACAACCAGTTCTTGTACTTGCCTACATCAGAGGATTGTCTGCAAGGATGAGAAGGATTGGGTCCAAGTATAATATTAGAATCTGCTCCAGATCTGGAAACACTATCCATAGCAGCCCCACGAAAACGAGGCCACAAAACGCGGACTGCGATTCCAAGAATTGCATTTACCGGATACCCTGGGAGTGCGGAAAATCCTATATTGGTGAAACTAAGAGGCCATTGAAAGTGCGTATTGCCGAGCACAAGAAACACACACAGCGCACAGTGGAGTCAAATATACTAATTGTTGGCAGAAATGATTCTATTGTTTTTTCATGTTTTTCGGGAAGAATGTCACGTTGGAAAGTGGTGCTAGATTGGTATTTGTTATTTGCATGTTGTCAGTGAAGGGTCAAATTGTTCATTTCACACAAATATTCATATTCATAGCGATTCGCCGAAATTACTACTCATCAATGATTCGCTGCTGTCGCTATCTTGTGAGATACCCACGTCTGGTTCCTTCACTGAAGACAATATATCTTTTTCGAGCGATACTGCTTTCTTCTTGGGTATTTTTCTCATACTGGTGATGAAAGGATCAGATGTTATGAGGAGCAAGTGAAGGACATCTTCGTTCGTTGCAGCACGTGATATCTTGAGAGATACCTCTTGAAATCTTTGTTGCGGGCTTCTTGGGCTTCTTCGCTCAGTTGGCCTATTGGAAATATAGCATGTTCTATAATACTGGAGCCGTGTATTAAGATTTTATGTACACTTGGTGGCATCGGGTACCATGGATACTCTTCAATAAACTGTTACCGTTTCTAGAGCATACACTTGATAGCTCTCCATATTTATTTCATATCCACTTGATATGGTTTGTAGAATTATTTTGAAGCGTTTTATATCAATGTCAACACCAGTAATTTTTGCTGATATATCTGGATTATTGTAAAAGCGCCTTGCAGTATTTTCGTCATTGCTACTTCCAAAACTGGGCTTTGATTTATCTACCAATAGACCTAACTCATGTCGGAACTGATTTAGGATATCTTTTTCTGTAGTCGCTGAAATTTGCTCGTTTTTCTCTCCACGGGCTTGCCATATCTTCAACGGTTGTTTATATGCAAGGTGTAGTAGACATTCGAAAAACCTCATCCATGCATGAAGCACAGATAGGCCAAATTCCAATCTAGTTGTGTCCAGTTCGGTTGCAAAGGAGATTTTTTCAATATTATTGAAATCTTTGCATGTGAGACCACAGATAAAACACCTTTGTGTTGATGTAGTTTCCGTGAGTGCATGACACACCTTGTCGTCAACCATTGTGAGTAGCATTTTGAAATTTACCTCAATATGGGTGTTATTGAATTCATATGTCAGTGGCCGCAATTGCTGTATTTGTGCATGTATATATTCTCTTTCCCGTCTGGATAATTCTTGGGTTTCATGCTGGAACTGAAATCTTATTGGTCCACAATACCGTGTAGAGGAACTACCGATATCAGTCTAATAGGTACAAGAGAGGAAATTAAAATATTTGCATCTCTGGCATTCAGATCACTGTCGAAATTTTGTTTATACCTATTCTGCTTGTCCTGATCCATCAAAACCCCCACTTACGAATTAAAATCAATTTCTGGAAGGTCTTGGGTGTCTTGCTACTCAAAACTGCGTGCTGAGCATCCAGGAGGCGTGAAGCTGTATGATTGAGAAGAGCTTGCAGTTGTACTGTGGCAGAAGTCTCTGTTATATACTGAAATGCTGCTTTTATTAGGATAACATTCCTTTTTCACCGCTTGGATCTTCTTATAGGATGAAAATCTCTCATCATCTTGCTCTCTTATTATATTATATTGGTGTCTTGTCAGTTGGGCTTCAACATACATAGCCAGAGCCTCTGCTCCTGTGAGTTATTGCTTTTTGGGTACACTATAAGACTTCAAAGCAGTTTTATACTTCTTCCCTCGCCTCGGAGTTGTTTGAGTGACATCCTTCACCATACTTGCTGCTGCAACTTGTCCAGAACATCGCAAACTCATATGAGAGGCGAATGATAATTTTTTTTTGGCGTTTTGTTCTCTCTGAAGATGTGCTGGAAGTAATTTGAGGACTATCTGCTTTCTTAGATGAAATGATAAAATTTGGAAAACTCATTGATGTATTCAGCCAGTTTCCGTTTTTTCATAACAAATCTGTCATGAATCCGATTAGATCTCCGCCATCTTTTCTTGAAATCCAGGGCAAAGAACGGAATTATTCATGAAGTGCAGATAAACCTTGTTTTGGACACTTTGTACTCATTTCGAGAAAATTTCTCAAGGCGTTCACTCGCTCTTCTAATTTTGTAACCAGAACCATTCATTCATTCATTGTATTGATAAAAAATTATCCTCTTAGTGATTTTGGTAATACTTTCAAAATTGCTTGCATATCAAACAAATTATTATCATGAGTCAATAGACTAACCTGTGTATAAACACTCCATGTCAAAATCAAATTTTCAATAATGAACACACCAGAGTTCTAACAGCACAAATTTACAATGCAATGGTTTGACAACTTACACAGCTGCAAAAATAGCTAACGTCAAATCAAGTTGAACAGAACGCCTGCTAGATCTGGGCTACAATGCGTATTCTCTCGCATACAGACACTATTCAACTTTACAATCGTGTTATTTGACTCCGATTGCTTGTTTTCCTCTTTGGAGTTCCTGCCAACAATTGGTATATTTGGCCCCAGTGTGTAGCGGAGAGAAACCAGCAAATCAGGAATAGCAGAGCATGTTTGGACCCATCAACACAACATCAAGTGGGCTCAAGATGAAATCATCCACAAGGAGGAACACCGCAGCCGCAGATATGTTGTCCAACAACGCATTTAGCCAAGCTAGCGTGGAGATACGCAACATAAGGAAACCTATAATCAAGCGGAACACGACCAAATCCCGCCAAACGGTCAGCTCCCGCTAAAATCGATGAAGCGGAAAGAGGGAAGAGGGGATAGCTGGAAGCACCCCAATGACCTATAAATAGTCAGATCTCGGAGAAATAAGTCCAGTTATCACCTGAAGACGATTGTGAATACTAACAATCGAAACGTCGTGGAGTAATTTGGATTGGAATCTTTTACTTTTTAATTTTCAGCCCATATAGTACGTTTGTAATGAGATAATCACAGAAATCATTTATGAATAATATCTAAACATGATAATGTTTTTACGGGACATTAAATATACATTTTTTTCTTGATTGAAATATTCAGTGGAACATGGAACATCATAAATATGTTACTTTTGACCATAATGGTAAAATGGAAGGAATAGAATCTGACGACTTCCCAAATGAAGTCAAAAACTCTAGCAAAGGAAAGTACTGGACTTGGATTCCTCTTCAACAGATCGAATACTCTGCCAAAACTTATCTTCATGAAATCATTGAAAATAATAAGAAAATAGTCATAAAATTTCGTAATTCTTTCAGGGACGTAAGTATGATTCAGCTTTTATTATGTTTATTGAAACGTGATAGAATTTCTCAACGTATACAAAAAAATATGTTTACGTTTACTTTTTGAATCATGTCCATAGGTTTTTTCAAGGTCACGAATATTTTCAAAAACATGTTTTCACTATGAATTTTACTGTATTGCCAATTGACACAAAAACCTTATATTTTACGTTCACATTTTCATAGTGAACTGTTTCACATTTAATATCAGCTCAAGTGCTTTTTGATAAACAATTATTTTTATAACTCAGAGTAATTTTTGAAGATAAATACTATAGTTGACACTGTTTTATTTTTCTACATTTTGGAAAACGTATATTTTAGACTATTTCAAATGTTCAAGCCATATTTTGTTGTAAAATTATCTTAATAAGTAGAAAAGATATCTATATACTTATATAGGTCGTTCGTGACCGGAATTTTACTGATCTCATTTGAATTGAATTGAAAACGAGTTTAGCTTTTACTTTTATATCCTATTTCAAAAAACAATATTTTTATCACTACGTGAAACAATATCTGCTTTTTTATGGAGACATTAATTTCCTATACTGATAAATTTCAATTACGTTTGAGAGACGTGGAATATGAACGTAAAACTAAGCTTATGAAAATGTTTTGCAAAACAGTTTTTGTTGTTATTTTTGTCTACACAGTTGGATTTTGTGGTATGTATTCAATTGCTACACGTTTTAAAAGTACTGAATATTGAGATAAGTCTTTGGTTACTTCTGGGAAATGAACAGATTCATTGATAATAAAGACTTCGAACGTTACAAATTGGAAATATTACAAACGTGGATTTACTTTGGAATTGCTTATATAGAAAGTCACACATTTTCCACATCAATGGGTAATTAGTAGGCTACTAATCCGATAGTGTTGGTAAATTAGATTGATTGCAAATATCCTTAAAATTCTTATTTTTATCGTGATTTGCTTTCATGAATCAGTTTACTGAATTAATTTTGCTACAGTACCCTATTAGATAGGTATGTCAGTTTCAACAGTGCTGAAAAAGAATAGTTTTCACATACTGATCGAAGATGAAATGTAAAATTCAGTAGCTTCTCATTATCATGACTTGATTGGATGAATGGAATAGTATCTCGTTTGTAATTTAACATTCCAAAAGTCTCAAAACAGGTAAGATAAAAAACTACTTCAATGGAATAAAAATATTGATCGATACCATTTTATTATCATTTGTACAAATGGTGTAGCTGTTAAATCTGAAATTTGACTTATGAAATGTTGTCAATTGCCAAAACAATAGCATTGAAGAAAATACAGAACTAATTGACTCCAACAAAATCGATCTCTTGAAGATTTCTGAAATATTCCTTGTAATGTTTGTCTTTATCATTTCCATAACTGAAGAGTTCGCGGGAAACGCAAGAAACAGACAAATTTTATCCCAAAATATCATTGAATCAAATATCACATTTGAAATAATATTTTGTAAAGTCATCCTGTAATATGAGAATATTTATATCCCAATTGTACCAATTTTTTTGAATATTGCCAACCTCAAATTATCAATTCCTTTTGGAATCATATTAATCATTTTACAACCATTACACATTAAGTGTGGCTACATTGAATATGAATATAAAGTTTATTCGAAAGTCGAAATGTTCTTGATGTTCTATTACATTGATTTTAGATCAGTTAAATGATTCCAGAGCGATTAGTGTTTAATGTACGTTGTCTGTTCAAAAAATAAGGTGAATTTTCATTTTTTTCAAGAAATATAAATTAATTCATTAATTCATATTTTGTCCCCTTTAAAGCTCTCCCAGCGATTTGGTCGTCCTTTCATGGGAACAGAAAAAAGTCGAAGGGGGCCAAAACTGGTGAATACGGTAGCTGAGGCATGATTGCGGTGTTGTCTTTGGGCAAAAAAATACAAACAAACATTGACGAGTGAGAAGGTGCAAAAGCCGCATATACTTGACAATTGTGTTGATACATTTTCATATATTTTTGTTGTACTACCCCAGGCTATAATTCCATAGTCACAATATCATAAGATGGTGATATTATGAATCATTATCAGAATCATCATCCTCGAGGTGTTTATGAAATTTTATGAGTTTTCAGTCGCACAAAACGAGATTGACAACCACAAATCATGGATATACGTTCCAACAAATTCATGTGGGGAAACAAGGACACTGCTGAAACATAGAATAATAGGTGGGCATAGAGCTGCTCTGGGAGAATTACCATGGATGGCTAGAATAGGCAGGAAACTCACAACTAGATTTGGCCGAATTTTGGAATTTTTCTGTGGCGGTGCTTTGATTAGCAGATTCTATGTTTTATCTGCTGCTCACTGCTACAATAAAAATATCAACGTGTGAGTAGAACCGGCTGTAATTTATAATTAGATTCCACAGAGTATCAGATTGTCGAATCTGCTCCAAAGATGAATTCTTGAAATTTTGCTGAAATTTCCAGAAATTATTATCTGAAAGAAAAAAAGATAGATGATTAGGAAGACTAAAGGTTTTCATGCCCAAATTTGATTGCTTCTAGGAAATATACCATTTTCAATTCATTCTGAATCCCGTTAACAGTGTGAGTCCTAAACTTTCTGATTCAATTTCAGGGTTAGACTTGGAGAAAATTCCGAGGATAGAACACAAAACTGTGATTTCAAAGGATGTGCACCCCCTCCCCAAGACATACGAGTAGGAAATTTTATCAAGCACTACAAATATTCTCCAAGTGACTTAAAAAATTACATTATGTTGATCCAACTACGAAGACCAGCAATATTGAACGGTGAGGCCTACATAGATAGCGAGACAGATAGAGAGAGAGAACAAGGAAAGGGGGAGACATAATGAAAAACANTCAAATAAAAATTATATATAGATTCTGGTGTCAGTGTGTTCAACCAATAAATATCTGAAACCCATAAAAACTTCTACAGTTGCGCATGGGTAACAAATATTTCAGGTATACTTTAAGCATTTGATTTCTTGTTTTTTATGACATTTGGGAATAAATTGAGGTGTTACAATAAAATCATGATCATTGAAGTTTGTGGGGTACTATGAAAAATCACATTTCTAATACAATATTTGATTTAAATTTGGAATATGTATGTTCAGAATTGAAAAATTAACTTTCATTTAACACTTTTGTCTGATCGTGTATGTCGCTTTTTGAATTATGTAACGCGTTTCGTAGCGACAATTTTTTTCTTTGTTTGTTTGTGGTTTCTCTTCAGCCTTCTTAATATTCTTTCCTTAGTTGAATGGAATGAGCGGATTAGTATTAGAACCGTCGTTTTTATCGTCTTCTACTTTCTCTTCGGGAGTAGGTGAGGAAGGACTACTATACGATTTTCTTGGAGGTGGTGGAGAAGATAGATCAGCTTCCTCTTGAGTAGTGAGATCTTCAGCATCCACAATGAGTCTATTTCCTCTTAATTTAGCAGTTTTTTTGCAGTTTTGCTAACTTCAAGTGATTTACAAGAATTTTTCTGTTCTCCAAATCTTTGGGTATGAGATCTTCACTTATGAATATTCCGGTATTTTCAAGTTTCGAGCAATTACTTATAATTTCTTTTCTTCTCAATTGTGAATGGAACGTCACCAAAATTGTCTTTGATTTACTTTGTGATTTCCCAAGTCTATAAGCGTTAGTTATATGAGAATTTTGTAATTTTATTTCAAGAATATCTTCAATTGTTTCTTTAATTACCTTCAATTTCCTTTCAATATTTTCCTGCTCGGTTCTCAACTGAAGATTTTCATTCTCCAGGCAATCCAGGTATCAAGGCAAGAATCTTGCACCTTGACTGTCCGATGAAACAGCAGAACATATACTTTGTGCTTGCCCCGCTGAAGACCGAATCAGGTTTTTAGAGTTCGGAAGAGCCAAAAATCTTTAATGATAGAGTAGATTCAATTGAATCAGGTAAATCATTGAATTGGACAAAACCTTCAAAAAATAAACTGCTCATACTTTTTCTTGTATTTGTTCTATTTATATGAATGTGACTGTTGTGCCTAGTAGATTGGTGATGAATATCCTTATTGAAAGTTATTAATGATAGCAAGTATGGTGGGGTCATTTCATTTAATATTTTAGAAATGAAAACCATGGAACAATAGATTAATCTTTTGGATACTGAGAGCCACAGTAGAGCAGATGGCATGGTAGAAATTGGTGTATACCTATTTCATTTTAAAATTATTCTCATTCCTCGATTTTGTAGTTTTTGTGTTTGTTGAACTTAGTTCAAATTAAAAGAGAATGAAATAGATGCACAGTAGTCAAAATGGGGTTGGATTATTGATTTATATACCACAATTTTTGTATCTGTTGATAAGTTTTTGGCGATTCTTGAGAAAAAATATAATTTAAGTGGTCGTCGAATGATAAGCAATTATCAAGTTGAAATCCCAAATACTTCACTGATGTTACTATTTCTATACGTTCATCTTCAATTTTCATATTTATGTTGTTTGTATTTATTTGATTATATTTGAAATCAGTAGTAATTATCATTGCTTTCGTTTTTTTAACGTTAGGTTTCATTTTATTGGTTTTCAAATATTTTTCTATTCTAGAACTTTATTCATTCTGCCAACAGTTTCTTCTAAATTTACTCCAGTACACGCCAATAAGGTACCATCCGCAAATAAGTTGATGAACTCATAGATATGCTTTCATACCTGTCATCGAAAGAACCGAATGTGAGAAGAGATTCAAGAAGAGCCTATTAACAGCGAATCAGTATTGCGCAGGATTCCCAAGTGGTAAGTTGATAAGTATTTTGAAAATATAAATAAGTTTTCTCAACGGGAGTTGATAGTTGAGTAAAATGAACGTCGAATCTTCTATCAATAGATTCAGTAAGTTGTCATTTGTCATTTGATGTGATGAGTATAGTATCTATGAGTGAGCATGGGCTTTGCTCTAAATGGGAATGTCATATTTAGGATCTCGATCATCGGAAATCAGTGATAAACGGCGCTCCTCAAGGTCCATTGCGAAGCCAAGCTTCTGCATTGACTGTCGAATGAAATTCGTCCTCTGTCTTTGTCCACAGATCTCACTGTAATATAAGTTGGAGCTAGAGTCCAAGAGAAAACATTTATGATTCAGCTCAGGCGTTGAATCACGACTGATTTGTTGTTGGGCTCCGGTTTCAACTAGTTTTATCCTTCAAGGGAATATATGAGTTTAATAATGCACTGCCTAGCACCAGTGATTATATCTACGGTGCTAATTTTTTCAACTACTTTTGTTTCGCATTTTCAGGAAGTGACTCATGTGGGGGTGATTCTGGTGGTCCGATGTCGAAAGAATATGAAAGCGACCACAATCTAAAAACGTACGTATTTGGTATCGTTTCTTATGGTCTCGCAAGATGCGGCCAAGGCCCAGCTGTTTATACCAGAGTTTCCTCGTATATGAAATGGATATTGGATTCCATCAGAAAGTAGATATATCAGTATTGTACATTCCAATCGTTAGAAGCAAATAAACCCATATACAATCTACTAAATGACTATTATTCTGCAACTAATTGTGACTGAATAATTGGATTCACCTGACTCTAAAAATATGTCGCCCTTAACGTTTGTCTAACTGTATGAGTAGATGAACAAGGCGGGAACGAGCGCAAAATCCCATGTATTTTCTTATGGAGCTAAACTTTTTGCAATTTTTGGTTCAGACAGGAGTGGGGGAAACGTCATCGACACAGGATGGAACGAGTATCGTAGCGATTCAAGCGTGGAACTCCGCCCCTCGGCCCCATTGTTACTCCACCTAACCTATTAGCTCCCTTAGTACTCCGCTCTCAGCCCCCTTGGGATTCCGCATCACCGCTCAGGCCCCCTTCAGTCACGTGATTTTAATTAAAAAAAGTTTAAAGTTATGAGATTCGAACCTGGATCGTCCGCGCGGTACACATTGTCCTTAGCCTCTACACCAACGTAAGATATTGAAGGTAACTGCGAATGTTGGGTATTTATAGCGTTAGTTTTGTCGGGACCGAAATTGACTTATTCATTATACTTGACAGCATTTTTTTTTTATTTTCGTAGAATGTAATCGTTATTATCTTGTTGAAGATAGGAAAATATACTTTGATTTGGGAAATAATTAATATTTCATGTGAAGATGTGAAGATGTGTATGTGTGTGTTAGAGCGAGAGACGCGTGTGAAGTAATCGATGCAAAGAGAGATGGAGATGGTATCGAGGTTTTACTGGTTGCTAGTGCAAGCAGGTGTTGCCAGTTGTACGATAAATCATTGTTTATGGAGTAATGTAGCGTTGCCGGTTTGAAAATGAAGGGTTAGGAATACGACTGTGTACGGTATGTCTCAAAATACATTATTTAAAGGAAAAAACTTGGCGTCAAAGTGTACAGGGTGCGTCAAAATATACCATTTGCTGCCAAGCAAACTTTCATACAATTTTCCATGAAAGATGGAGTATTTGGTTCATACTCATATACTCATATTNGACTCTTCCAGAGCATCCTACAAAATTGATTGGAGCTACAACTACCCGCTTGGTCAGTAAGTATCAATCTTTCAGCAATAATCTTGTGCACCTATTCAAATATTGGCAAATGAAGTTTTTTGTACTTGATGTACAGGTTCATATTGTTGCGAGATGACGGCCTACGCTCTCAGTTTAGCAGCGGTGCGACGACGTAATGCCACTATGACCAACACGATGCGTACAGACCAAGAGGGGACAGACTTGACAATTTTGATGATGTTAGCATGTACTATGAGATAGGTGTTAGTAAGACCTGATTGGGGAAGGCTCCCCATGTACAACTCCTAGGCAGTAAGCCTAGTACTTGAGTATCCTCATGGTGTTTTCCTACTAAGGCTACCCCTGAGCAACCCCCAAAACAAAGTTTTATAAAATCTGGTGGAGGCCAGACTAGTACCCCGCGAGAGGCAGAGAAAATTTGTAAAAGTGTTGCAACTTGATGTTAACTGAACTTCGACGCTAAAAACTCCGGTTCTAAAGTGGTTATATCACCCGTTGCAAGTGAAAACGAAGAATCCCAAAGCACAGAACGAGAAACCAAGATGTCACTAGAAGAAGTTTTGACTTTGGTGACACCGAAAACGATCACAGGCAAGCCAAATGAGGAACTGGAACATTTTTTCAACAATTTCGATAGAGCTGCAAAGGCGAATCATTGGTTAAACGAAGAACATTTTTGTAAGTTCATTGCTTCCTTCAAGGAGCTGCTCTAGACTCTAGACAATTGGGAGCGAATGTACTACTTTTGAAGATGTAAAAACAAAATTGAATGCTGCTTTGAGAAGTTCCACAACTACTTCCAGACTACTAAAACGAAACCAAG